CTAATCATTGATATCCATTCAAAACCGGCCGCGCCGCGTCAGTGGCCGTAATGCTCCGCTTATATCTCTGGGAGCCGACGATAGAACATATTGCGCAATTAAGCGACCCAAGCTAGTCGTTGTCTGTGATGCGACACTGCTAGCTTGTCGGAGGTTTGTGCCGCCTAAAACTTACCGCACCCGTGCGACATTCTCAAAGGATAGCGCTATGGTTATTTGCATCCATACGTACCCTCCTTCCTTGTGTAAACGTTCAATTTTGAACTTTCATTTCAAAGAGCAGAATAGGGCAGGAGGGTAGAGTAAAACCACACCTTACGCTCAACCCTGTTGATGAGTTGTCCTATTCTATTTGTAATCTAAAAAGTCGTCAGTCTATAGTCTATTGAGTGGCAGAAATTAATTTACTGAAAGCATAAGATAAACGGCATAGGGAACGCCCTCGAAGACTGTTGTTGAAGGTTGCTGTAATTAAAAGCAACAATCTTATACTCAATCTGTTGTGAGCTTAACGCGCTGGAAGCTGCCTTTCCTACGTCTGTTTTCACACCAGATAACTAGAACTTATTAGTGGTCAAACAGGACAGTATAGGAATGCACAAAGATATACCACTCAGTGCCTGGGTAGAAGTAAACCTGGTATCGAGGACGAGAGGAAGGCCAGCCCAGAGAATGGGAGACGGTGTTCTAAGCGGCCGCTGCTCTGCTTGACAGACTGTGCTTCTTACCTCAGTTTCGCCCCCTAGCCACGCCCTATACATGATGAAACTCGCATAATCTTACATTTCAGCTCAAGACGCCGCTTTTATTTTACTCAGAGAAATTTTGACAGGAATTTCTTGTGTTTAGTTTCATTGTTAAAAATAACTACGAGATAGGTTCCATCTTTTACTTCATAGAAAAAGCCCTAACAACCAGCTTAGCTGTAATTAGGGAGTGACACCCGCTAGATAGAGAAAAGTAAGAAAAGAAGTGAGTCAGATACCACACAGAAAAGAAAACCTTGGAGTCCTTTTCCCATGTGAAAAT